ACCAGGCGCCTTGGGGGACTTCTTGGAGGAATTAGATCATCTCCTCTCACACATCCCTGAAACTGGCCCTCCCGCTGTACTTCTCGGAGACTTCAACCTCCAGATGGGGAAGATAGACAAACTAACATCTCTGTTAACCGCCTTTGCTTTCTCACTCTCTCCGTCCCCACCGACTCATAAAGCTGGCAATGTCCTTGATCTCATATTCTCAAGGAACTGCGCTACTTCTAACCTCTCTGTAAACCCGCTCCACACATCCGATCACTTCTTCATTTCATTCTCTCTATCCCTTTCCAAACATAACAAACTAATCTCTTCCCATCCTACACTTGTCCGCCGTAACCTTCGCTCCCTCTCCCCCTCTACCTTTGCCTCGTCGGTGCTCTCAGCCCTCCCTTCCTCTGATTCGTTCCAACTACTGCCTCCAAACTCTGCTGCAGAAACTCTCCTCTCTACTCTCTCATCCACTCTGGACTCGCTCTGTCCTCTGACATCTCGGCAGGCTCGTCAGTCCCCTCCGGCTCCCTGGCTAAATGATGCACTGCGTGCTAATAGAACCGTCCTTAGGGCAGCAGAGCGAAAATGGTGGAAATCCAAACACCGTGACGACTTCCTAACCTATCAAGCTCTCCTCTCCTCTTTCTCTGCTTCGATCTCTCAGGCAAAAAGCACTTTCTTTCAAGATAAGATCCAATCTTCCTATTCCAATCCTAAAAAACTATTTTCCATCTTCTCCACCCTCTTGGACCCTCCAAAAGCTCCTCCCCCCTCCTCACTTCTGTCAAGCGACTTTGTTACCCACTTTGAAAAAAAAGGTTAATGATATTCGCTCTTCTTTTTCTGACTCACCTTTACTCACCGCTGGGTCACCAGACCCTCCTTCCACCAACACACTAACCTCCTTTTCCCCTCTCTCTCCAAGTGAGGTTCTTACCCTCATTACCTCTGCCCGCCCTACCACCTGTCCTCTGGACCCTATCCCTTCAAACCTCCTTCAGACTATCGCTCCTGATATTCTACCGTTTCTCACCCATTTCATCAACACTTCTCTAACTTCTGGTCACTTTCCAAACAGTCTCAAGGAGGCAAGAGTAAACCCTCTCCTAAAGAAACCCACTCTCAACCCGTCTGATGTTATAAACTACAGGCCTGTCTCTCTCCTCCCGTTCCTGTCTAAATCACTTGAACGCGCTGTCTTTAAACAACTCTCCTGTTATCTCAATCAGAACAACCTTCTGGATCCGCACCAGTCTGGTTTCAAGGCAGGTCACTCCACAGAAACTGCTCTCATTGCTGTCACGGAGGAACTGCACACTGCCAAAACTGCATCCCTCTCCTCTGTCATCATCCTGTTGGACCTGTCTGCTGCATTCGACACGGTGAATCATCAGATCCTCCTTCGCACTCTCCAAAAACTTGGAGTTTCAGGCTCTGCACTTTCCCTCCTCACCTCATACCTGAAAGACCGTACCTACAGGGTGACTTGGAGAGGGTCTGAGTCCGACCCTTGTCAATTAACTACGGGGGTCCCTCAGGGCTCTGTTCTTGGTCCCCTCCTCTTCTCCTTGTACACAAACTCGCTCGGATCAGTCATTAGCCCGCATGGTTTTTCTTACCACTGCTACGCTGACGACACCCAATTAATTCTGTCCTTTCCCCGCTCAGAGACCCAGGTCGTCGCACGCATCTCTGCTTGTCTAGCTGACATCTCTCAGTGGATGTCTGCTCACCACCTCAAGCTCAACCTTGACAAGACTGAGCTGCTCTTCCTCCCGGGAAAAGATTGTCCAACTCTTGACCTGACAATCAACATCGGCACCTCCTCAGTTGTTTCCCCGACTCAGACTGCAAGGAATCTGGGTGTGACCCTAGATAACAACCTGTCCTTCACTGCAAACATCGCTGCTACAACCCGCTGCTGCAGATACACGCTTTACAACATCAGGAAGATACGTCCCCAGCTGACTCAGAAAGCGACTCAGGTTCTGGTCCAGGCTCTCGTCATCTCACGCCTAGACTACTGCAACTCCCTCCTGGCTGGTCTACCTGCATGTGCCATCCGACCTCTGCAGCTCATCCAGAATGCAGCGGCTCATCTGGTTTTCAACCTTCCTAAATTCTCCCACACCACTCCGCTCCTCCGCTCCCTTCACTGGCTTCCGGTAACTGCTAGAATCCACTTCAAGACACTGGTACTTGCTTACCGTGCTGCGAATTGTTCTGGCCCTTCCTACATCCAGGACATGGTTAAACCGTACACCCCAGCGCGTGCACTACGCTCTGCATCAGCCAAACGACTCGTTGCGCCCTCGCTGCGAGCGGGACCCAAGTTCCCATCGGCGAAAACACGTGGGTTTGCTATCCTGGCTCCAAGATGGTGGAATGAGCTCCCCATTGACATCAGGACGGCAGATAGCTTGCACATCTTCCGGCGCAAACTGAAAACTCATCTCTTTCGACTCCACTTCGAGCGTTAGAACGATTAACGAAGCACTTTTATACTAATAAAGGACTGGCTTATCTAAAGCCAGTTGAGTAGCACTTGAAATGTTTGGCTCTATGAAACCTGATATACTTATATGATTCTGTTTTCTTCAAGGTTGTGTCTTCCTGGTCGAATGTACTTATTGTAAGTCGCTTTGGACAAAAGCGTCAGCTAAATGCAATGTAATGTAATGTAATGTAATACCATCTACCGCTCGGCGTGCAAAGGAGCTCTCGATCATTTAGACGTTCTGTATCACTCCGCCATCCGCTTCGCCACCAACGCCCCCTACAGGACACTCCACTGTGACCTGTACTCTCTGGCTAACTGGCCCTCTCTTGAGACCAGAAGCAACATCCACTGGCTGATGTTTGTTTACAAAACACTCCTAGGCCTCACCCCCTTCTACCTCACACAATTACTGCAACTCCGCACACCCCCGACGCACAACACCCGGTCAGCTACAAGCATCCTGCTAAAGAACCCCAAAGCCCATGCATCCTTTGGCCGCTCCACCTTTCAGGTTACAGCAGCTGATAGCTGGAATAACCTTTGTCTCCCCCGCACCTTCAATGTCACTATTATTGACACCCTGGTGCACACATGCAGCTGCTTTGCCTGATGCTGATCTGAATGACTGATTGAACCACAGCAATGTTGTTTTAGAATTTGTATATGTTGAACTGCTATGCCTGTCATCTTTGCTCTGTGTGTTTGTCTCCTGGGTTCTGCAGAGCCCGGAGTCTGTCTTTGTATTTGTTTCCCTCCCACCCCCCATCCCCTCAGGAAGCCTGTGCCTCCTGCCAGGTCATCATTGTAAATAACAATTTGTTCTTATTTGATTTTCCTGGATAAATAAAGGTTCTACTTCTACTACTCATAATGCTGACTCATCTCAGACTCACTTGGACTCATAATGCTGACTCATCTCAGACTCACTTGGACTCATAATGCTGACTCATCTCAGACTCACTTGGACTCATAATGCTGACTCATCTCAGACTCACTTGGACTCATAATGCTGACTCATCTCAGACTCACTTGGACTCATAATGCTGACTCATCTCAGACTCACTTGGACTCATAATGCTGACTCATGCCAGGGTTTCATGACTCAACGCTGGGTCATGAAATGGTCTTAGGACTTAATGGATCAGCTGTTGAGACTCACTGCCCTGGGATCTGTTTCTTTGAGGCAGAGCAGCTCAGATGTTGACGGTGTTTCCTAACCCACAGCAACAACACGACGTAACTCTTCATTTAGCCGGGCTTCCCCTCGGAGAAACACGTCAATGGTGTCATTACTTCCAGTTAGGTGGATACATTGAATTACCCCGTGCAGCCATTACTACTGACGAGCAGTAACTGTGTGCGTGCATGTGTGTGTGTGTGTGTGTGTGTGTGTGTGCGTGTGTGTGTGTGTGTGCGTGTGTGTGTGCGTGTGTGCATAATTGTGTAACTCTTATTAATCACTTAATGTATTGCATGCTAGTTGTGATATTTTATTATCTTTTATTGTTATTTTCCTATTTAAATGGTTTTATTATTTAGTTGTTTTCATCATTTATTATTGAAGGTCCTTTTGTACTTGCCCATTACCTGTGATCTGTGAAGCACTCTAAGCTGCACTGACCCGTGTTAAATAAGGGTAACATGATAGAGTGTGTGAACTCTCCATGTAAATACTATCCATGTATTGTTATCATTGTTATTAAACTCTTACCTTGGCTAAGTGAGAGTTGATCCATTTGGTGAAGGTCCTCTTCTGCACCGCCTCCTGCTCGTCTGGAAGAGAGAGAGCAGACGAGAGAGGCTGCTTCAGTTTGAGAGGAAACACACCCTCAATCAGAGGACTCTTTAAAGTAGAGACACTACATACTGATATACACCTGAACATCAGCAGAAGAGGACTCTTTAAAGTAGAGACAGTACATACTGATATACACTTGAACATCAGCAGAAGAGGACTCTTTAAAGTAGAGACACTACATACTGATATACACCTGAACATCAGCAGGAGAGGACTCTTTAAAGTAGAGACACTACATACTGATATACACTTGAACATCAGCAGAAGAGGACTCTTTAAAGTAGAGACACTACATACTGATATACACCTGAACATCAGCAGGAGAGGACTCTTTAAAGTAGAGACACTACATACTGATATACACCTGAACATCAGCAGGAGAGGACTCTTTAAAGTAGAGACACTACATACTGATATACACCTGAACATCAGCAGGAGAGGACTCTTTAAAGTAGAGACATTACATACTGATATACACCTGAACATCAGCAGGAGAGGACTCTTTAAAGTAGAGACACTACATACTGATATACACCTGAACATCAGCAGGAGAGGACTCTTTAAAGTAGAGACACTACATACTGATATACACCTGAACATCAGCAGGAGAGGACTCTTTAAAGTAGATACACTACATACTGATATACATCTGAACATCAGCAGGAGAGGACTCTTTAAAGTAGAGACACTACATACTGATATACACCTGAACATCAGCAGGAGAGGACTCTTTAAAGTAGAGACACTACATACTGATATACACCTGAACATCAGCAGGAGAGGACTCTTTAATGTAGAGACACTACATACTGATATACACCTGAACATCAGCAGGAGAGGACTCTTTAAAGTAGAGACACTACATACTGATATACACCTGAACATCAGCAGGAGAGGACTCTTTAAAGTAGAGACACTACATACTGATATACACCTGAATATCAGCAGGAGAGGACTCTTTAAAGTAGAGACACTACATACTGATATACACCTGAACATCAGCAGGAGAGGACTCTTTAAAGTAGAGACACTACATACTGATATACACCTGAACATCAGCAGGAGAGGACTCTTTAAAGTAGAGACACTACATACTGATATACACCTGAACATCAGCAGGAGAGGACTCTTTAAAGTAGAGACACTACATACTGATATACACCTGAACATCAGCAGGAGAGGACTCTTTAAAGTAGAGACATTACATACTGATATACACCTGAACATCAGCAGGAGAGGACTCTTTAAAGTAGAGACACTACATACTGATATACACCTGAACATCAGCAGGAGAGGACTCTTTAAAGTAGAGACACTACATACTGATATACACCTGAACATCAGCAGGAGAGGACTCTTTAAAGTAGATACACTACATACTGATATACATCTGAACATCAGCAGGAGAGGACTCTTTAAAGTAGAGACACTACATACTGATATACACCTGAACATCAGCAGGAGAGGACTCTTTAAAGTAGAGACACTACATACTGATATACACCTGAACATCAGCAGGAGAGGACTCTTTAAAGTAGAGACACTACATACTGATATACACCTGAACATCAGCAGGAGAGGACTCTTTAATGTAGAGACACTACATACTGATATACACCTGAACATCAGCAGGAGAGGACTCTTTAAAGTAGAGACACTACATACTGATATACACCTGAACATCAGCAGGAGAGGACTCTTTAAAGTAGAGACACTACATACTGATATACACCTGAACATCAGCAGGAGAGGACTCTTTAAAGTAGAGACACTACATACTGATATACACCTGAACATCAGCAGGAGAGGACTCTTTAAAGTAGAGACACTACATACTGATATACACCTGAACATCAGCAGGAGAGGACTCTTTAAAGTAGAGACACTACATACTGATATACACCTGAACATCAGCAGGAGAGGACTCTTTAAAGTAGAGACACTACATACTGATATACACCTGAACATCAGCAGGAGAGGACTCTTTAAAGTAGAGACACTACATACTGATATACACCTGAAAATCAGCAGGAGAGGACTCTTTAAAGTAGAGGACACTACATACTGATATACACCTGAACATCAGCAGGAGAGGACTCTTTAAAGTAGAGACACTACATACTGATATACACCTGAACATCAGCAGGAGAGGACTCTTTAAAGTAGAGACACTACATACTGATATACACCTGAACATCAGCAGGAGAGGACTCTTTAAAGTAGAGACACTACATACTGATATACACCTGAACATCAGCAGGAGAGGACTCTTTAAAGTAGAGACACTACATACTGATATACACCTGAACATCAGCAGGAGAGAACTCTTTAAAGTACAGACTCTACTGATGTTGCGTCTTCTCTAATAACTGTCACACAAGGAGATCGAATCCCTTTTGTTGCTCTGTTAATACATTCAGCTTCATGCATTATGCAACAGTTTTAACAAACACTTGATTTCTGCTGCAGCTCTCACACCGGTCAGCTGCTGCTGCATGGGGGCCATTTTCAACCCCCCCCACACTCTCTCTCACACACGCGCGCACACACACGCGCGCACACACACACACACACAGTAACACACCGTCACGTGATGGAGGAAACAGGCAGCAGAGACGAGCAGCTAACCCTCGGACAAACGCTTCATCACTGAGGCACAGGGGAAGCACTGAAGCATAGCACACACAACAACACACACACACAGCTGTTTGTGCAGCATGACACTGTGGTACTGGAGCACACACACACACACACACACACACACACACACACACACACACACACACACTGTCTCTCAGCTGTTTGTTGTGAAGGTGAACCCTCTGTTAGCATCTCCTCACGTTAGCTGCCCTACTTACCCCTCAGATACTGGAAGAATCCAGAGACCAGGTTCAGAGAAGACTTCCTGCCGTCCTTACGCTGATCCATCGCCCCCCCCCACACACACTCTCTCTCACACACACACCCCCGCCTCTCATGAGGACCAGCGACACACAGATTTATATACGTGTGAGGATGAAAATCCACTGAGGGAAAACTGGAAATCTCTCTCCAGCAGGAAGCAAAACAGATCTGACTCCCCCTCCTCCCTGACACACACACACTCTCTATCACACACACACACTCTCACACACTAGCGGATCGGGTCATGAACGAGCCCTCCATCTTCCTGTGTTTTCCCCCCGGTGGAGCCATGCCTGAGTGATGCTCAGCTGCCTCTCAGCATCACAGGCTGAGCAGCAGCCAATCAGAGTGCAGCAGCAGCAGCCGTGATGTCACAGCCTGCATTATCCTCAGCTGAGAGAGAGAGTGTGTGTGTGTGTGTGTGTGTGTGTGTGTGTGTGTGTGTGTGTGTGTGTGTGTGTGTGTGGCAGCTGCTAGATGTCACTGACAGCATTAATTATTCATAGAAGTCTCTTAATTGACTTCTAGTTAATTGAATCAAGAGCACAGGGATCAGAATCATATGAAATGTAAAAATATGATGAACCGTGTTATTATTTCATTTATAAATCTACGAGTTGAGCTTCATTTCTAACAGTTAGTGCAGCTCAGGGTCACAGAGGATAGGCATGGGGGAATGAGAGGTGGTCCATCAATAAGAAAAAACATTACATTATAAGATAACAATTCAAATTAATAAAATATCTCAACTTTAATAAAATAAATAATTAATCAAATAAAATGTGTGCATTTTACATGCAATCAATTAACTAATGTTTTACTTAACGATAAAATAACACAATTATACAAATTAAATACAAAAAGTGTATAAAATAATTCTAATAAATTCATGAAAGGCCTAAAAATATAGGTTTGAAGTTGAAAGATGACGTCCTGCAGCTGTTCATGTATTCATTTGAAATGTAATCAAATTTGAAATTAAATATTTAGTCCGTTTTTAGTAGATTTAAAATGACCTGTATCAACATGGCCTTGCTGTATCACACACACACACACACACACACACACACACACACTCTCTCTCTCTCTCACAGTAAGTGTCGTGATGTTCTGCACGGACTCTCTAGACCCTCAGATACTCAGCATTAGGAGAAGAACTCTCTCTCTCTCTCTCTCTCTCTCTCCTCTCTCTCTCTCTCTCTCTCTCTCTCACACACTCTCTCTCTCTCTCTCACACTCACACACACACCTCTCTCTCTCTCTCTCTCTCTCTCTCTCTCTCTCTCTCCCCACACACTAAAAGCCTCTCTATAAAAAGCTCTTTCTGTGTCTTTGTGTCAAAAAGGTTGAAAGTAGCTCCGTTTGAAACGCTGCGAGCAACGAGAGGAACTGTAGATCTGATGCTCAGTCAGAGTCATGCTTCATGTTAGCTCTGACAGCATTAAACCCTTCACTCACCAACCTGCAGATATAGTCTTCAGTTCGATCTACTGACGCCGGTCTCCAGGTCAACATGTGTGCTTATCTGAACGAGTCGTGAACTTTAGCATTCAAATATACGAGCGTAATACTTTTTCTGTTTATTGTTGGAAAATAATTGATGCAGAAATGTCTTTAAATGTTTAAAAATGTTTCAGCAGGAAAATGACGTTATGATGAATCTAACATCCAGTAGATGATTGAGATATTCTGCATTTTCTTCACAGTAATTCTACTTTTTGATTAGAGTTTTTATTCGTAATTATTTCCGTTTTGTTGAGACTCTTGTGTGCTTACAGCGCCGCACTCTGCACAGCAGGAAGCTTCACCAACACGTGTTGTATTCAAAGACCATCAATTACTGCAGGATTATTGTCTTCCTGTCAGAGGGAAAGTGAAGCAGCCTCTCTCTCTCTCCCAGGTGACCCCCCCCCCTTCCCCCCAACAGAGTACATATAGTACTACCTGCTGTACTATCTGTAGTACTACCTGCTGTACTACTGCTGTACTACAGTACCTGCCGTATTCTATGCCGTATTCCCAGAGGTATTGTGTGTCCTGAGATCACCTGAGTATTACTTGATGTCCTCATGCAGTCACTCAGAGGGGGGGGGGGGGGTAGTTCCCCCTCTGCCAGAGTCAGCTGTTCCTGAAACTCTTAGACCCACACATTTATAAAGATTCACAAATAGACATGTTTAGTTTTGAATAGTCACTTTTCCCGAGAACTGAATTGCACAAAAGTCAAAAGCTTTTAAAATAATAACAGATTTATTTTTACTGTAACAGAATTTAAATCCACAGTATTTTTACTTTTGTGCCATAAAACAAGAATACATTCAAATAAATACATGATTTAGAGACGAAATACACCATTACATTCCCCCTTGTTATTAGATATACTTTTATTTTCATAGATCTATTTTTTTTAAATAATGTTGCACTTATTTATTTATTGCTGCGGACACATTTTGAAGCTGCTTTTATTTATTTTGTTTTATTTTACGTCCTGTGAGATAAACTAATAATCCAGTAGAAGATACACTGGAACAACAACAAGTTCAACAACAAGTTCAACAACAATGAAATCAAGCCGTTTCCACTTGAAATCAGTCCAAAGATCTGCCAACAGAACAAGTGAACATCAGCTTGGTGAGATCTCTAGAAGTCCAAAGATCTGCCAACAGAACAAGTGAACATCAGCTTGGTGAGATCTCTTGAAGTCCAAAGATCAGCCAACAGAACAAGTGAACATCAGCTTGGTGAGATCTCTAGAAGTCCAAAGATCTGCCAACAGAACAAGTGAACATCAGCTTGGTGAGATGTCTAGAAGTCCAAAGATCTGCTGCCAACAGAACAAGTGAACATCAGCTTGGTGAGATCTCTAGAAGTCCAAAGATCTGTCAACAGAACAAGTGAACATCAGCTTGGTGAGATCTCTAGAAGTCCAAAGATCTGCCAACAGAACAAGTGAACATCAGCTTGGTGAGATCTCTAGAAGTCCAAAGATCTGTCAACAGAACAAGTGAACATCAGCTTGGTGAGATCTCTAGAAGTCCAAAGATCAGCCAACAGAACAAGTGAACATCAGCTTGGTGAGATCTCTAGAAGTCCAAAGATCAGCCAACAGAACAAGTGAACATCAGCTTGGTGAGATCTCTTGAAGTCCAAAGATCTGCCAACAGAACAAGTGAACATCAGCTTGGTGAGATCTCTAGAAGTCCAAAGATCTGCCAACAGAACAAGTGAACATCAGCTTGGTGAGATGTCTGGAAGTAGGAAGGGATGTTTAGATAAATCACATCTTGTAATCAGCAGGAGAACTCATTCTGAACTATGTCACCAGAATCAGGAGATGCTGTGTTTCAGAATAATCCTCAAAGGTTTCTGTGTTCTGATGTTAGCTGGTGATTTCCTAATAAAGATGTAAATAAAGTGTTTCCTCTGAGATACGACTCAAAGTGAGATGTTTTGACTGAACAAGATGAAGCGTTGTCTAAAATCAAGAGCCTCTGTCTCACTGCAGTGTCTCTCCTGGAGTTACCTTCTATCAGGAGAGACACGTTCTGACTGGATACCAGACACAGGTACTGGGCAGGATCCAGAGTTTGTAGAGTATCTGCTGATTGCACCCCCCCCCTAATGTTTCCTCTCTTGTGATCATCAGACAGGAAGTAGACGACGCTTCACTTCCTGCAAGTATTTCACATTAATGAGCTTTAATGTGTCGGAGTGTCGATGGAGGGTTTACCGCTGTGAGCAACACACTCTCACTCCCTAAGCGTCCAGGAGCGACGTTTGGTCAGTGTCCGTGGCGTCCAGTTGTGACGCTCCTAGGCTCCTTCAGCGTCATAAAGGGACGCAAATAGCTTTCAACTGATTGCAATGTATTCCCATCTGCGGCGGGATTTGACGCTCATGGAAGCACGGCATTCGTTTGTGTCGGCTGCCCTTAAAGGCAATGTGAGCGTCCATTCCTATTGGATAACGGAGAATTGTACACCCGGAAGTAAGTATTCCTCTTACTGTCGATTGATTTTACAGTGATATCTGCACTACTCATCGACTAAAAAACACCAGATTATCCTTGTTAATTACACAACATTGATTGGTTTAAATTGTGTGCAATGCTTTTGAATTTTTCCCCTTCGATTCGGAGAAACAAATTATTTTTCTGAGTAAAGGATGGCAGAAAACACTACACTACCCAGAATCCCCAGCTATCGTTTGGACTACACCATGTGCTCTGTTTGACAAACCTTGTGATAGTCCTCAAGCTCTGTGATTGGAGAGTGTGCTCCGAGGGTTACGCCGATTCTCGAACAGCACTTGAAATGGGATGGAACCAAGGCAGACTGTCCAAAACTGGATTTGAACGGGTCCACCGCGTCCCCCCCTCCCCCACCCCGTCCCCAGAACTACACATGCTGGCTATTCTGTTTTGCAACATGTTCTTTATCTATGGCACGTCTCTACTGGGAGTTGTAGTTTTAAAAGACGTTTTCGTATTTCCCATAATAAGAAGTTGCCAGTATTAAACTGTGTACATCCCTGGAGGTTTAGGGGATAGGAAACACTCACATTTAAAACATATAATTAATAAATGGATGAAAATTGCTTGTGCCCATAATGGGCAGCATTAATATATATACACACATGCCAGCTAAGGTCAGAAGAGCTTTATTTAACAGCTGGTCTTATGTTTGTGACCCCTGTTGTTAATTGATAACATTACATTACATTAATTGATAAGACTGAAACATGCACTTGTTAAGGTTCAGAGGCACATTTTGCAAATATGGCAGTAGCCATCGATCAGCTTAAGATAAGATATACTTTATTGATCTCAAGTTGGAACATTTGCGTTACATCAGCATGTGTAACAGTTGTAAATATGCAGTAGTGTTTATTTGTAAATCATTTAGTATAATCACACAAATTCTGTGTTTTATATTCAACAATTCTGTGTTCTTTATTGATTGATTGTTCAATACCTGACAAGGCCGGAGATGAAATATCTACATACATCTTATAAGAGTATAATACATATGTATAATATCAGTTAAAATAAGTGCTTCAACATAGTTAACATTGCTGGAGGTATGCACAAATATTGATAGATGTCTTGTAATGCACTATTGAGGAACCTGCGACCCAAGTTTTTCATTCAATGCAGAACTACACCATAGTTGAAATCTTGAAAGGGATGTGCAAAATAGTCATTATATACAGTCTTTAATTAACTATTAGTAGAGAATAACGAGTAATGAATATACTTTATAGGGATCCTATTAATATCTAATAATAAAAATAATGAAATTC